TGCAACCTTCAAAGAATTAACATCTAAAACTTGAAAATCCACAGTCACTCACATCAAAAGAGAGAGAAAATCAGACATCACGTACCCCCCGATGATAGGATACAGCACAGGACTACCTATAGTCGTGGCAAAAGAATTCAACCTGAGTCTGATGAAACCTCTGGATCCAGAGGCCATTGGCAGGAAATGCAGAGGACAGGGAGAGGAACATGCTGAACTGCACCAGGAGTGACAGCTTGCAAAACCCAGACTGGGAAGAGACTGCTGCCCTGGGGTTCTTCAACAGATACATTGCAAAAGAAAGCTGAGGCGAGGGGAGGGGAGAAGCCTACAGATTAAGGCACTGGAGGGACCAGCAGATAGTGTAATGATTACATCGCTGGATTCCCACACGGCCAACCCCTGTGAGTCTGGAACCCAGCGGCTTGAAACTCACGTAGGATGTGTGTGTGTGTGTGTGTGTGTGTGTGTGTGTGTGTACCCAAAACCCCAAAAGGAGAATGGAGGAGAAGGGATTATGGCATGGCCATCCCTCCTGGGGGGTGATTTCTCACTTTCTGTCTGTCTCTCCAGTGAGTGTACATGCCAAATAGCAAAAGTCTCTAAGGGAAAAAAAGAAAAAGATGCTTGAAAGAGAAAACTGGGGCAGACTTAATTTGAGGTCTAGATGGTGACCAGTTGAGTGATATATCTGTAAAGAAATCTATTAACATAGTTCTATGCAAGAGATTACTACTAGGGGCCAGGAAAGGGCTGTAATTGGATGGGACAAATGGAAGGGCTTCTGGATTAGCTGGAAAAATTCTATTGCTTTTTTTTTTCTTTTTTTTCTTTCTTACTTGTTTTCCCTTAATTTTTAAATTCCTATCTATTCATTTGTCTTGAAAGCACTCAACACAAGAGCACATGGAGAAAGTTCAAATGGCACATTATTCTATGTCATTTTGCTAATGCAAAAATTTAATTTCTTGACCTGAATGGTGGTTTTAAGAGCATTAGCTTTAAATAATACACCAAACTGAATGTTTGGGGCTTTGTCATTTTCTTTTTTCTTTTTCTTATTTTTTAATATTTTTGCTAGAGGGTGTGTGTGCTCAACAGAGAGAGAGGAAAGCACACCTCCATGGAGAATGGTCTCAGCACAATCCCCTTCTTCCTTCTGTTCCTCCTTTCACCCTCCTCTGGGCACACGCATAAATGAGCTCATCATGTTTCTCAAGCTGCCGGGACCGGAACTCAACTGCCTGTTGGCCGTATGGGGCAGCCACACTTACCAGCAAGCCACATAACTGGCCCCTTTCTGGCCATTTTTCTATACCTTCTTTTTGTCAGCTTTGTTTAACAATAAAAAGGTAAAAATAAAAGAAAAAAGTACACAAAAAAAGAAGTATAAAAACAAAAGCACAGATCTTCAAGGATGATTAAGGAATAAAATTCATCGATTTTGAGGAGCAACAGCCCTGAGAATGATGCACGCCCCCATCGGGGGCTTCTGTTCATCCCACTAATGTCCCTGGCTAGTCACTGTAAAAGCACATAAACAGAAAGGGTTCAGGAAGCTTTCTCAGAAAGAAAGGGGAGGGACCAGCAGTTAGCATAATGGCTATATTGCTGGACTCCCATGTAGTCGACCGCAGTTCGAGTCCCAGACCCGGTGGCTTAAAACTCACACCGGGTACGTGTGTGTGCATGCCCAAGATCCCGAGGAGAATGGAGGAGAAGAGATTGCGGCGTGGCCATCCCCCCTGGGGGGTGATTTCTCGCTTTCTGTCTCTCTGTCTCTCTCTGTCTGTCTGGTGAGCGCACGCGCCCTATGGCAAAAAACTCTCCAAAAAAAAGAAAAAAAAAGTTAAAAAAAAAATGAAAGAAAGAGGAGAGGGAAGATGGCATCCTCTCATTCATTCACACTTTCATTCAGCTCAACTGAGCACCGTTTATAGCAGACTCCCAAGATTTTGGGGCTATAAAGATGAGCAAGACTTAGGCCTCATCCCCGAGAAGCCCACAGTCAAACTTTGGGAGAAAGGAATCCCCAGAAGTAGAGGCAGAGTGACCAATCAGAAGAACAGTAGAGGCTGAAATCCCTGAGGACTCTAAAAGGAGGAAAATGACTCAAAGGTTTTGGCCAAAATAGAAATAACTTGCTCAGGTTTGATTAACCTGCTCAGAACTATATCCCTGATACCAGGAAAGATATTTCGTGAATTACTAACTTAGTGCTCATTTGACATGGAAAATGGCTTCCATTCCTCAGTGATAAACACTTTTTAAATTATTTGTCAGGGCCAGCAGTGGTGGCACAGTGGTAACACAACAATCTGTGATGTTAGCCTGTCCCTGGGTGTCCCTGTAGATACCAGGGACACATGAGCACGCCATGACCCAAGCTGGCTGAGGTTGAGGTAGGTCATGACATAAAGACCTTTTAGGAGGTCCTTCTCTCTCTTTCTTCTTCTCATGAAATAAATATACTTTTTAAAAAAGCTATTTGTCAGTAACAGTTGACCAGGAGGACTACATATGTAGGCTCAGGAGCCTTTTGCTATTCCCATTCAGAAATTAGATGGTAGCTGGGCCAGCTGGTGGTGTGGTGGTTAAGACAGCTAGATCCCACATGGTCAACTTCATGGTTCGAGACCCAGACCCAGCAACTTGAAAAACAAACCAGGTATATGTGCATGCATACCCAAAATCCTGAGAGGAGAATGGAGGAGGAGAATTGTGGTGTGGTCGCACGTGGGGCCTTGGCTGTTCACTTCATTGCTGCATTTCACAACTTCCATCCATGCTACATGTGCTCTTTTGCATTATCAAACATTATATAACTAAAAATCTAATAAAAATAGCATTGAGAGGCCAACAGGTGGCATGGTGGTTAAGGTGCTAGACTCCTACATGGCTAACCATGGTTTGAGTCCCAGACCTGGTGGCTAGAGGCAGAGTGACCAATCAGAAGAACAGTAGAGGCTGAAATCCCTGAGGACTCTAAAAGGAGGAAAATGACTCAAAGGTTTTGGCCAAAATAGAAATAACTTGCTCAGGTTTGATTAACCTGCTCAGAACTATATCCCTGATACCAGGAAAGATATTTCGTGAATTACTAACTTAGTGCTCATTTGACATGGAAAATGGCTTCCATTCCTCAGTGATAAACACTTTTTAAATTATTTGTCAGGGCCAGCAGTGGTGGCACAGTGGTAACACAACAATCTGTGATGTTAGCCTGTCCCTGGGTGTCCCTGTAGATACCAGGGACACATGAGCACGCCATGACCCAAGCTGGCTGAGGTTGAGGTAGGTCATGACATAAAGACCTTTTAGGAGGTCCTTCTCTCTCTTTCTTCTTCTCATGAAATAAATATACTTTTTAAAAAAGCTATTTGTCAGTAACAGTTGACCAGGAGGACTACATATGTAGGCTCAGGAGCCTTTTGCTATTCCCATTCAGAAATTAGATGGTAGCTGGGCCAGCTGGTGGTGTGGTGGTTAAGACAGCTAGATCCCACATGGTCAACTTCATGGTTCGAGACCCAGACCCAGCAACTTGAAAAACAAACCAGGTATATGTGCATGCATACCCAAAATCCTGAGAGGAGAATGGAGGAGGAGAATTGTGGTGTGGTCGCACGTGGGGCCTTGGCTGTTCACTTCATTGCTGCATTTCACAACTTCCATCCATGCTACATGTGCTCTTTTGCATTATCAAACATTATATAACTAAAAATCTAATAAAAATAGCATTGAGAGGCCAACAGGTGGCATGGTGGTTAAGGTGCTAGACTCCTACATGGCTAACCATGGTTTGAGTCCCAGACCTGGTGGCTTGCTTTCTCACTCTCCCTTTCTCTCTGTCACCCTCTAGTCAAAATTTAAAAAGAATAAATTAAATTAAAAATAAATAACTCTAAAAAATATACTTTTTTTAAAAAAATAGCATTGAGTAATGCAATGTTAAAGAGTAAAATTTTTAAATGTCTCCCTCCTCAAATGAACTAACTTGTTTGTCACAAGTTATTAGAGTCAAAGAAAAATACATAAAGTTTTGAGGCCTAGAAAATAGACACACAACTATTGTCCTGCCTTTCACTGTAACCAATGTAGCAATAATATTAGCAGATGACAATTGTATTAACATTTAAAACATTACTGTTAATTTAAAATACCTGGATAGTCCTTTACGAAGCATATCCTCAAGCATTTGTCTCACTTGATTTTCACAGAAATTTTATATGGGAGACACTACAAAAACCCCTAAAAAGGACACCTGAGCTCTCTCATAAACCTCATCCAAAGCTGATAATGAACAGACTGGCCCAGTAGTGCAGCCGTTGCATGGTGCATAGGGAGCGGGATCCCATATGGCCAATCAAAGTTACAATCCTGGCCATGGTGCTTTGAGAAACAGGCGGTATGCCTGTCCAGAGTCCTGACGGGAAGAAACTGAGTAAGGAGAATTGGTCTTCCCCAGGTCGTGCTGTGACCATACCCCACTAGGGGATGCTTTCTATTTCTCTTTCTGGTGGATGTATGAGTCCTCTAACAATTATAAAAAGAATTCAGTAAAGTTGCTAATGAATAAATAATTCCCATATCACCATTGTTTATCCCCTCCTCGTTTCCTGTGCCCTGAATATTTCTCAAACATAAAACACAGTGGATGTCAATAACATGTCAATAACACGTTAATGTGTCCTGCATGTTACTAGGCCAAATCCCAGCTTCGTGCGAATGCTCTGTGCACATTATTTCACCTAATTTTACCCAAATCCCAAAGTGAATTGTAGTGTTATCTACAATTTGACATATAAGACTCAAAAAGGTTCGATCATTCACCCCCTATCATCAGGGCTAGAATCTAGGTCCATCGGACACTAGCATTCCTAACCATTGTATGAGGCCTCCCCCAAAACACAAGCCTCCCTGAAAACCCTTCCCAACATCGTCCTCATCATTGATTAAGCCAGGACTCACTTAGACCCCGTTCTATTTAACACACTCACCTTTGGTTTTTTTGGAATCTTTTCTCCCAGAAGGAAGATCATGTCCCTTAAGTTGTCTGAGTCGATGCCTTCTGATATCTCGTAGAGCAGGTTTCTAAGACATATACCCCAAATGACATTAAAGCCTCACACTTACGGAGGACACTATGGTAAGTCAGATGCTTGTACAAATGTTATCTATCATTTAAATGACTAACCCTGTGAGTGGATAATTATTAATCCCATTTCATAGATTCAAAAACAAGACCTTGAGCTTCTAAGTGACCTGTTTAAATTAAGACAAGACAGTTGGCCATAAGGCCAGCTTTCCGATTCCAGGTTTAGTGCTGTTTTCCATCACACCAGGAAGGCATAAAACACATTTCTGACATGCCCTCCCATCTCCTGACTCCATTCTTGAAATCCAGGCTTATATGAGAGGACCTAATACCAGCCAATGTACGCAGTCCCCATATATCCAAAAAGAAAGAAAACTACCCCAATTCCAAGACAGCCATATCATCCACAAGCAGAAAAACTGAATATTTCAGTCAACACTAACTCCCTGGTATGCTAGAGATAAGCCCTCAGGTATTTCACAGGCAGAGTAGAAGTATGGGTTTCCAGAACTTATCATTTCTTTCACTGTCCAAAGGTAGATCAGGTTCTGGGAGCCAGCTCAAGGGCCAAGTGTCATAAAATACCCTGTGAAAGTTCCTCTTTCTGAGGTTCCCTGATGCAGACACCGTGTCAGCGGACAGTCTAAAACTCTGGTATCTAAGGTCTGACCCAAGATCGGAGATCATGGTGCCAATTGCTAAGATTTGGGTGTCCCCCCCAAAATTCATGAGTTTGTGACTTGGTGTATTATAAACATGTTAAGTGAAAACTTAATTCTTCATGGCATCCCCAGGTAAGGCCTTTGGGTGTGATAAGGTCATTAGGGCAGGGCTGCCTCAACAGGGTAGGTTAAATCTACCAGGTTCTGGTAGATTTAACAGAGGGAAAAGGAACCCAGAATAGGCAGAAACTTACAGACAGCTGCTCTGTGCAAGATCCTGTCCTCTGCCACGCTGCAGCCTCAGCAGTAGTTGGTCTCAGACCACCCACCCAGGAGCTGAATAAACCTCTATGCTTATGAATCACCCCATCTCAGGGGTTTCTATAAGCACAACAGTAAGGGACTAAGATAACTTATTCACCTAACTGGGCAATCGGCCTATATTTTTACCTCTCTGTGTTCCACCCAAAAATGAACAAAAATCTGTAATGGGACATGACATAATGATGTCCCTTCCTATCCCAGAGACATGTCTCTTTTTCATCTTGCCTACTGGGCTCCAAGAGTGCGTTATTCTCTCCTCAAGACCCCTGCATATGGCTAGCCTCACCATAACTCCCAGGAGGAAGAACTGTGTGTGAGAGTAGAGGCTGGGAACCAGGGGAGGTCCAGGCTCTGCTATACTGAGCAAGCTGCACTGACAGAAGAAACAAAGGGAAGCCACCTGTGGGCCCAGAGTTGGGTTTTGGCGCTCTACTGATTTCTCAACCTCTCATTGTATTAGCATCTGAGGCCAAGAATCTCCTGGTTTAGAATTTCCTAATTTATTATCCAAAGAGTTATCAATACATAAGAAAAAGAACTCAGGGGCCAGCAGGCAATGTGGCGGTTAAGCTCTGGACTCCCACATACTCTACTGGGTTTGAGTCCTGGACGTAGCAGCTTGCTTTCTCACTTTCCCTCTCTCTTTCTCTCTGTCTCTTTCTGGTCAAATTTAAAATAATAATAATGATGATGATAAATAAAATTAAATAAACAATTCTTAAAAAAAAAATAGGAAAAGAACTTGATGGTGGTACAGCAGGGAAATACAACATTTTTCAAGGTAATCCCCCATGGGAAGATTGCCCATTGAAGTACAAAGATCTCTCTAAATATTCAGAATACATGCATGTCCATGTATGTGGGCAGGACCAGGGCTGGCTGAAGCCTGGGGATTGCAATATCAAGACCCTATTGGGGGTGCTGAATCTCTGTCTCTCTCACAGAAGAAATACATAAATACACTTTAAAAAAAAAGAAGAAAAATATCTACATTTCAGCTTTCTTTTGAATCTCAATGAGCAGAAGGCACCAGATAGAAAGGCTTTCTGTGTCCATCACAGACCCCTCCTCACCTGAACAGAGACACCCTCCTTCGGGTAGGCAGCAAGTTCTCCACGGCCTCTCTAGTGTAGTTGAGGTGCCTCAGCAGGGAATTCTGCTTGATGATATAGAGGAGTTCTGCGAGGAAGAAAGGGTCTTCCTCACTGAGCAGCTCCTCGGCCATGAGATGATCAAAAATATCCGAGGCTGAGCTGGACTTCTCCAGTTTCTTTTGGGAGATGAAGTCTAGGCAGAGAAACTTCAGGCACTCCACATCCTGGACCCCCAGGTTTGAGTCAATATTCAAAAGCTTCTCACGAAAGGTCATTTTACTGTTTTCATCTGAACCAGAAGTCAGACTTTGACCTTGAGGTGCTAGGACCAGCCTGAAAGAGACAGAGAAGTGAGGCGGGGCATGAGGAGGCAAAGACACACAGCACCCCGACTTTCTGAGCCTTCACCCAATCCTGGCCTTCTCTGTTTCGGGCATTAGACTTTCCTAGACGTGGTGAAAAATCAAAATTACTACAAGGCTACTTCAAAAACAAGTAAGCAGAAAGCTTCACCCCAATACTTGTAAGTTACCTTGAAGGTTAACCTGATTTCTCCCAGATGAAAATATCCTCTGTGAGAGACTGTCTAGAGGGAAGACGATAGAGCACAGTTTCTCCAAGGCCTGTTAGCCTGGTCAGGGCTCTTAAATCCAAAATCCACTTCCACCAAATGGCAAAAATAACGCTTAGGTCTGTGCTTTATGTTTTAGAAATAAAGCAGTCTGGGTTGGGGGCCAAGAGAATTGTTCTTCTGTAGTGTTTACCAGTCCAAGGACAGTGAGGTTCCTCTGAGGATGTTTGTTATGTCCTTAACTTCAGATTGCTAATTCCCTTTCACAGAAAGAAAAGCCATGATCCTCGACCCCAGAAGAAAAAGGTAGTTTTAGGCTAAATGACTTACTTCAGTATAGTACGACACATTCCCTTTCAGTGCACACCTCGCTTTCCTGTTCTGCCCACTTAAAGGGCCAAGTTGACCACGAGGCTAGTCAGAGTTGTCCAGAAGTCTGGGGACAACTGTCCAACTTAAATTGTGTTAAGATTTGCTCTATTAAAACTCCACTCTGTTAAATTAGCTGATTTCTTTTTCTTTTAACAATAGGAATTACATACAAAGATCAACGTTTCTGCTGACCCGTTCATAAACTGCAGTATTCTCTACATTCCATTCCATTCCAATCAGAGGAGCAATGCGCTGCTAACATTTTCATTGTAGGGCCGATGTCTGTAGCTATGGTGGTTAAGGGACCCCAATGGCTGAACACGGTTCCAATCTCCAACCGACTCCTTGATAAAACATGCCAGGCACATGCGCATGTGTGCGTGCCCAAAGTCCTGACAGGATAAAGAAATGGAGGACAAGGGATTGCAGTGCAACCACACCCTACTGGGGGTGCCTTCTACCTCTCTCCCTCTCCTCTCTCTCTCTCTCTCTCTGGCAAGTGCACATGCCCTGACGATTAATTTTTTTTTAATTTTTCATTGTAATAGTGTTCATTTTAGAAAGCCTTGAGGTATATTCATTATGCAGAACTTGGCTATTCTTAGAAACAGGAAAATATTTTTTTAAGGAAGGAACACCACCAAAAAAATCAACGCCTCACCAACAAAGAGCGGTATCGAGGTGGTATATACAATATAATTTTTCTTCTGGGCTCCCATCGGAATTTCTCAAATTTCATATAATGAACAGATATTACTTTTGTTAGAAAAATGAAAACGAAATGAAAGGCCTTTTTCAATGTGATCATCCGAAGGAGCTGCCCTCCGGTCCTGAGGAGCAGCCACCGGTTTTTCCTAGACTCACCTTCCTATTCTAACGCATCCCACACTGGCCACTGACCGGGTGGTTTCCTGAATATTCCAATCTCTACCTTTCGTGAGTCTCGCAAGCTTTCTGGTCGTGGGCTCTACTTCTGCTGGTAAAAGGCTCTGGCGGAGCCTTCCTGGTTTTGTACTTTCATTTCCCTGGCACCGCAAGGAAACCCAGGCAGAAACAGTGCAGTTGCTGACAAGAAGTTTTTCCAAGTTTCTAGGCATGAAGCAGAAAAGATCGGAGACTGGAGGGGAGTGGTTCCTTACATACCTCCACATCAAGTTCCACCAGTCCTCTGGGGATGACCCGTTCTCCAGGAAAGTGCCTGTAAACGACGATTTAAAGAATTACAATCTTTGCGGTCGGTCTGAGGTCCAAGGAAGTTCTCTGCGCAGGGAAGGGGACTCAAGAATTGTTCCTGAGGAAATGAAAGCTGGATCTCTTGGTCCGGTAATTTCACTTAATTTCCTGTGATGTCACATTGCCTATCTTTTTTCCCTCCCCTTTCCGTGGGCTAACTCTGGCAAACAGCGTCTCCTAAAGGCAAACTTAGAACTTCCCTTCTCCTGGGCTGAGCTCCGAATTTTCCCAGGTGAGACAAAGGTCCTGGAAATAAGATCCTGCAAGCCACGAAGAGCTCCAGCCTTTCCTTTGGGTCACAATCTCCTCGGTAAATCCAAAAAGAAAGCCACAATGTTGCTAACCATCTTTCCTCAAACTCAACCTTTAAAATAAAATAATCAGGCTCATGAAACAGTGGTCAGTCATCGTAAGCCCTTTAAAAACAAGCCCGCGTGCCAGCCAACAATTAAACATTTTTAAAGTCAAAAAAGGTGGAAATTGTGGGGTATCAGCTCTTTTGAAGATACACCACCGTCCCCTTGAACAACATGGATTCGAAGGACACGGATCCACTTACATAGGGATCTTTTGGGAGGCGGGGAGAATCTAACAAAACATTTATCTTTTTTTAAAAAGAGAGATTTCCTCCCCCTAAAAAAGTGGAGAAGTTAAAGATAAATATGTTCTTAAACGGCGGGTTGATCCCGGGGTGCCTGGCAGAGGCAGCTGAAAGTGTTGGCTCCCGGGGTCAAGGCGCGTTCCTGCAGCGTGCGGTCCCTCCTCTCGGCGCTGCGCGGCGGCTCGGCGGCTGGGCGGGCGGTGGAGCGAAGGCTGCGAATCGAAACTCCGGGCAACTCCGGCAGGGCGCGCGGGCTCCCTCTGCTCCGCTCTGGCCCGCGGCAGTAGGTTATCCGGGCTTACGTTTTGGGGAAGCCAAAGGTTACACGCAGACTGAGTGGCCTGCAACCCTAACTTCTGCGTAGTTCAAGGGCCCACTGTACTTGCCAGGGCCTCGATCAGTCAATGGCAGGCAGAACTGACAGGAACAGGCCAGCCGGTGGCGTAGTGCCTGAGGGGGCCGGATCCCACAGGGCCCACTGAGGGTTTGAGTACCAGACCAGGAGGCTTGCAAAACACAATTGGACGTGTGTGCATGCGTGCCCAAAATTCAGAGAGGTGAATGCAGAAGAGATAGCTGGAGGCCGTCGTACCTGCGGAGGGCTTTCTCATCGGCCACATCTCATGCCAGATAGGCACCCTATAGCAAAATAAAATTTAAAAAAGAAAAAAGAAAAGAAAAAGGAAAAATAATGGACGGTGTCAATTTTACAGTACATTCAATCCAGTAGTAAAAAAAGCCTTTGAAGCCATTATTTCTAATAATAAAAATACGAATACTCATATAGTGCCTACCCTGTGCTAAGCACAGGGTATTTGGGAATATTTACTCATTTAATCTCCCAACAACCCTCTAAGATAAATACCAGTCCTATGACTTCCACTTTAAAACATGAAAACTAAGGCACAGAAAGGTTAAGTAATTTGCTGGAGATTACACAGCGAGCTAGTGAGAGAACCAGGATTTAAATCTGCAAGTTGGGCTCTAAGCCACTGTACTATAATTAAGCTTCTTCTGAGAAAAGATACAAAATCTTAGAAAGATGTTTTATCACTGGGAGAAACAAGATTTATGCTGCTTTGATTAGTCAATGTGTTCAATGCTATTTCCATCTTTCAGGCATTGTCCAGAGAGCAAAAGACCTGGACTGGCAGGTGGCATGATGTGTTGGGCACCAGATTCCCACTTGGCCAACAGTGGTTCGAGTCCCAGATCTGGCGACTTTCTCTTGTGCGCTCTCTCTCTCTCTCTGTCTCTCTCTGTCTCTCACTGGTTAAGTTGAAGAATAATGATAATAAATAAAATCAAACAAGTAACTGCGTGTTTTTTTAAAGACCAAAAAAAAAAAAAAGGAAGACAAGACCTAGTGGTAATGGCTGTACAACAATATGAATAAACTTAATGCCTCTGAATTTTACACTTTAAAGATGTAAGATGGGCCGTCCAGGTGGCGTAGAGGTTAAGGTGCCTGGATCCTATATGGCCAACTATGCGGTTAGAGTCCTAAACCCAGTGGCTTAATCCCAAAATCCTAGCAGGAGAATGGAGAAGAAGGGATTGCAGCATGGTCCCCCTGAGAGGTACTCTCTCACTTTCTCCGCCTCTGGGAGCATACACACACCCTGTAGCAAATTAAAATAAAACAAAACTAAAAACAAAGTAGGGGTTAAATGGCAAGTTTGTTTTGTTTTGTTTTGTTTTGTTTTAGAGGTTTTGCTATAGGGCACGTGTGCTTACCAGAAAGACAGAGAGACAGAAAGTGAGAAATCAGCCCCCCAGGCATGCTGCAGTCCCTTCTCCTCTATTCTCCTCTCGGAATCTTGGACACGCATGCACACACGCCCGGGGTGAGTTTAAGCCACCAGGTCTGGGACTCAAACCACAGTGGAGTGGAGTCCAGCAACATAGCCATTAGGCTAACTGCTAATCCCATTTTGTTGTTTTGTTTGTTTGTTTGTTTTTGGAGAGGTCTTTGCTATAGGGCGCGTGCGCTCGCCAGACAGAGAAAGACAGAGAGACAGAAAGTGAGAAATCAGCCCCCCCAGGGGGTAGGGCCACACCACAGTCCCTTCTCCTCTATTCTCCTCTCGGAATCTTGGGCACACACGCACACACGCCTGGTGTGAGTTTAAGCCACTGGGTCCGGGACTCGAACCACAGGCGACTATGTGGAGTCCAGCGACATAGCCATTACGCTAACTGCTGGTCCTGACCATTTTGCTGTTTTTTAATTGCTAGGGTAGATGCTCTCACCAGAGAGAGACACAGAGAGAGAAGAAGGAGAAAGCACTCCTCAATTGGATGTGGTCACATGGCGATCCCTTCTCCATTTCTCCGTCCAGTCAGGATTTGGGGCACACATGCACACAGGTCCAGCATGCTTTTCAAGCCTTCAGGGCCAGGATTTGAACCACAGAGGGCCATGTGGTATCCAGCTCCCTTAACCACTTGACCACAGGGCTGGCCCAGCAAGTTTTATGTCATGTATATTTTCCCACAATTAATATATATATAAGATAAAACCAAAGAAAGACAAGCTCTGTCTTAGTCTTCTACTCAGTTGTTCAATTATAAATATCATTTCTTGAGTCATTTGGAGAGATGATTTCAAGAAACTGTCACTTCTCTCTCATCCTGTTAGTAAAGTACATTAACTCTGGGGCCAGTACATGTCACAGTGGTTAAGGGTATTGGACTCCCACATCGCCAACTGCTGTTCGAGTCCTGGATCTGGCGGCTTACTTTCTCACTTTCTCTCTCTCTCTCTCTGTCCTTCTCTGGTCAAATTAAAATAAGTAAATAAAGTTAAATAAAATAATTCTTTTTTAAAAGAAAAAAAGTACATTAACTCTTCCAACTCTTTTTTTAAAGAATTATTTATTTGGGGCCGGCAAGTGGCGTGGTGGTTAAAGGCGCTGGACTTCCACATGGCTGACCACGGTTCGAGTCTCGGACCTGGTGGCTTCTTTCTCACTTCCTCTGTCTCTCTCTGATCAAACTGAAAAATAATAATGATATAATAATAAATAAAGTTAAATAAAATAATTCTTAAAAAAAGAATTATTTATTTAATTTTATTTGTTATTATTATTATTTAATTTGACCAGAGAAAGAGAAAAGGAGTGTGAGAAGAAGCTGCTAAATCCAGGACTCAAACCACAGTCAGCTGTGTAGAAGTTCAGGGCCCCAAACACCATGCCACCTGCTGGCCTCTTCCAATTTTTTTTTTTTTTTAAAGTTTATTTCCTTCATGAGAGTGACAGGAAGAGAAAGAGAGAAAGAATGACAAGCACCCTCCACTGGGCCTCATGCTGCGTGCCCACCCACTCCGCCCAGCCAGCCAGGATCATGGTTATGTGCCTCAAGCAGGTACAGATCCAGGCCTCTTCCTCTCTCGGTCCCATATTGAACTCAAGTTGGAAGAGGTGAGTCCGGTCTCAAAATGGAGGTAAAAACCACTGTGTCAGGTGGCCCCCTGCCGCTGCTGCTGTGAGGAGGGTCACGATCCAAACGAACCAGAGCAGCTGAGAAAGCTGCTGACTGGTGCCCTGAGCTTTGAAACTACAGACGACAATTTAAGAGAACATTTTGAGAAATGGGGCACACTCGCAGGTTGTGTGGTATTGAGAGACCCCCAAACAAAACGTTCCAGGGACTTTGGTTGGGTGGCTTACTCTTGTGTTGAAGAGGTGGGTGCAGCAGGGTGTGCTCAGCCAAAGTTGATGGGTAGTGGAACCAAAGAGAGCTGTTTCTAGAGAGGATTCTGTGAAGCCTGGTGCCCACCTATCAGTAAAGAAAATTTTTAGTGGTGGTATTTAAAAAGAAACAGAAGGATATAATGTAAGAGACGACTTTGAAAAGTTTGGCAAGATTGAAATCGTAGAATTTATGGAACATCGACAGAGGGGAAAAAGAGAAGATTTGCTTTTGTGACTTTTTCTTTTTTTGAAGAGGTTTTTGCTATAGGGCGCGTGCGCTCGCCAGACAGAGAGAGACAGAGAGATAGAAAGCGAGAAATCACCCCCCAGGGTGGATGGCCACTCCGCAATCCCTTCTCCTCCATTCTCCTCTCGGGATCTTGGGCACGCACACACATGCGCTGGGCTTAAACATGAGTTTAAGCCACCAGGTCCGGGACACGAACCGCAGTCAACTACGTGGGAGTCCAGCTACATAGCCATTATGCTAACTGCTGGTCCCGCTTTTGTGACTTTTAATAACCATGATACAGTTGATAAAATTGTTGTTCAGGATGATTCCATCACGGTGTCAATACAGAAACAATATCAGAAAAAACTGTTGGCTTTGCAAAATGACTCACCTCCTGGAATGAGTTTAAATGAAAAAAAGTGTTCAAAATTCAATTACACAGTGGACTGTACACATGTAAGGTATACCAAATTTTCCCCTTTCGTGAAGGGGAAAATTTTCAACTTCTATTTAAATTTAGTAGTCGATATTCTTTTGACTCTCCTCAGGTCATGTTTACCAGTGAAAATATTCCTGTTCATCCTCACATTTATAGCAATGGTCCTATCTGTTTATCCATTCTAACAGAAGACTGGTCCCAGCACTCTCAGTTCTGCGTGTCTTAGCATTATTAGCATGCTCTCCAGCTGCAAAAACAGAGAAGATAACCAGATAATTCTTTTTAGGTGCGAATGTGTAACAAGAATCCAAAGAAAACAAAATGGTGGTATCAAGACGATACTTGTTGATGCCACTGTCATCATTTTCCTAGCAGAAGATAGTCCTACTGAGAAAACCAGCACTTTGATCATTCAGTCTTTGAACTTTAACCTTTGACAGGAAGTGACCTATAGGCAATGAAGACTACTTTTACTGCATTTTTACTCATGTGTTTTCTGGGTGCATGTTGATCGCTGGTTCAGTCCAGGCAACTGACATGCTTTTATTAGTCATACAGTATTAATGCAGGTGTCAGGAAATGTCAAATATAATTCCATTTTTTCATTTTCTTTTTTTAAGCTTTTGGAGAAGTTTGAGATCCTGATGTATTGGGCAATAACAATGACTTCCTTGGCGGATTTGGAGCGTTTGTTGCCGGCAATGGACGTTGTTAACAGGAAAAGTTTCCATTAACTCCTGCCACTCAATAATCAATGCATGATAGGGCCTATGAAATGAATTTATTGGTTATAATGGGATTATCAATAAAAGTGAGGGATCCAACATTACTTTAAAAAATTGTTGTTGGTAACCAGCAGTTAGTGTAA